CCTAAAACATACGCCCAACACCTCCTCATTTATTCTTCCAGGTCAGCAAGTCTCAAAATCAACTATAGCAGGTACTTTAAGATGTGTGGACTTCAACTTCCAGAATTCCCCAGCCAGCATGTTGAAGGCCATACATCTTAAAGTGGCCGATTCGAGAAACGCTGTTCTAGGTGATGGGGGAAACATTTGGGAAGTGCAACGTTCGGGTTCTGATTTGAACCCGCCGACGTGCCGTCACCATTTTCAGAAAGCTTCCGAGGACCCGCGGCCTACACAATTTTACAACGACAGACCCAACGTTGTGTTGTCAACGTCCCCTAACTTTTATTCCTATCGCGGGGAGAACCCGCCCTGCAGCGACACTTTGTTACAAATTAAAGAACGGTAAACGGCTTAAAGTGACTCCGACCGTTCCAAAGTCTATTGGGACAACAGCGAGTTTCTTTTTCGCATCGAAGGTTCCCTCTTCATTTTTATCTCTACGTCGGACTTCGCACCGCCTCTTCCCGACCCCTTTTCCCGGGGTTCAACTGCGCGGGAAGGAAGAGCTGTGCGAGAGCGGCGTTCGGCGGGAGGCTAGGCCGGGACCTCGAAGGGTGGCTCATCTCGGCGCCCACCGCGATTGAGGCTGTACCGGCTGCCGCGGAGATTCTGTGCCACGTTCCAGAGGCCGGTGACTGCGCCCGAAATGGCGTCCGACTCGGACGGCGAAGAACAGGCAGGGAGGAGAGGGGCCGGCCGGGGCCTCCCCGAGGAGGACATTGCCAGGGAGGATTCTGAAGACATGCCGACGCGGCGCTTGATCCGCCAGCAGTACCGAGAGCTCATCTCTACCGTTCAGCGTAGGTGCCTCCCCTCGGACCGGAGGGAAATGGCGCGGGCTAATCCGGGATCAGGCCTCCGGCGGTCCGGGAAACGCGCTGGGTGGCCTTGGATCGGTCGCTGCTGCTCAGGCCCGTCTGCTTGGCGGGGACGGTGTGGTGTGGGGATAAAAGAGGGGAAACTCCCGAGTGTGGCGCTTCAGGCTCTCTGAGGAGCGTGCAAGATAGCGGCGCAATATATAAATATCTGCTCACCTCCTGGTTTGGGATCATTTTCCTGCCCGTGGGAAACATGAGTGAGATCCATCCAGTCTTGCACCTTTTCCCTCCCCAGTTTTTTGCGATCTCGAGTTGGTTGAAGACAAGCTCTTGAGAACTCACGTCTTTCTGAGATTTCTTTCCCAAACTTGGTGCCTTCTAAATGAATGAAGTCTAAATGCCTCAAGTTCCTCGTTGGGTTGTCACAATCTTTCTTTTTTTTATGAAAAAAGGTATATCAAAATATGTTCTCAGTCTTTCTGGAATCTTTGAGCATGTTGTGGTTGGAGCTTCAAGGAATGGAAATCTACTTTGCAAATTGGTGCAAATACTGGTTTTAACAGGGTGACTTTTTTGGTTTAGGTATCTCAGCCGTAAAATATGGTGTTTTCCCCTCCTGATTTTCTAGAGAACCATGAGCTGATGCTGAGCACCAATAATGATAAATTGACAGAGGCTCTAGAAGATGCTAATAACCTGTTTAAGGGAGGTAAGATGAGAATTACCCAGAATATTATTTCTTCAGTGCTTGATTTCCTTTTAGAAATGGCTTGAAATAAAAACAGGAAAGAACATGTGTCAAACAAAGAGACATTGCCACTTTTATTTAATACATTCAACTTATTCTAGCAAGGAAAAATGTAAGTTGCTTTGTTTACTAATAGTAGCCTTCTGTATTCTTCAGAAAGCATGAAGAGGAGTAACTTTCTAGAGGCCTGAAGGAACTAGAGGAGGAAAGCAGAGAGGAAAATGACTATTTCCCTTTATAATTAAAGGCAATTCAAAATGCAGTCTCATCTTTTTTCCTCACTAGTTGTTTCTGTCTTAATGATATGCCACTTTCTTTTTGGTTTATAGGTATTGGTATCATTTTTATTTATTAGTAGACTGTTTTCATGTTCCGTGGGCCAGGACATGTTATACCAAGTGATATAATATGAAACATAAAATGATAAGATATGAAAATCAGCAGTAAGAGCAGTTCTTATTTTAAGTATTAACAGAAACCCATAGCACGTTTTTACAAAACAATAGTGTAATAATGAACATAGTGATCATATATAGAATAATATAAGTAAATGATAAAACTGATACACAACTATCAAATATTAATTAATTAAATGATGCATCAGATGCAGCTATGAACACTGCCAAGCATATAACCAATATTGACATAGCAATGTTGTTCTGATTTATTAATTGGTAGCCTTTGTAACTGAATTCAGAAACTTCCCAGGGAAGGTAAAATGAAATACAGAATGCAAGACTAGCTGTGTGTTCAGACTGTCTTTAAGTACTTTCAGCAGCAGATTTTCTAACTGGTCTTAGAGCCCCACATTTCCAGACCAACTGCAAATGAGCTAGGTAAACAAATAAGCATATCTTACTGATGGGGAATGCATTTCATGTAGCATAGATCATGTCTAAAGAACGTTACAAGGTAATATTAACAAAGAAATAATCTCTTTGTTTGCCTTTTCAGTTACAAATGGCTATCTAGTTCTGAGTGATAGTGGTTTTCTTTTGTTTTGGTCTCTCTTGTAATGAAGTTTTAGTGTACTTTGGAGACAGCCTTTGATTGTCAAGCCTCAGAGTTTAAGCTTCAAGGAAGAACTTTTTTTATTACTTTCTGTTTTTCCAGAAAAAGATGAGGGTAAGGGAATGTAATCTTATTTCTGGATGAAATCCAATGCTGAGAAGTAGTTAGCCCCATTAGTGTTTGGAGATCAATTGTCAGAGACACAAATCTGTAATTTTTCAAACTGTTTTAATAAATCACATCTTTATTTCACTGTTGAGGCCCTGATGGCTCTATCTCTAACTTTTATTTCATTTGGAGAAAAATGGCAGCTTCTAGTACACCTGCATGTTGTTCTTTTTAGCCAGTGGATTACACTGAGTTGCTGATAAAATACTGTAAACGTGATTGTGAAATGTGATTGTCGTTCTTGACACAGCTCTTAATTGATTCACCTTGTTATCTTGAGAGGTTGATAATAGATAAGGGTTCATTTTTTTTCTATCTCCCTCTCCAAGCACCCATCCTCTCTCTTAGTGAGCAAGCTTATTAATAATACCAGTAGGGATATTATTAATAAGATGGTGGTACTTAGTTATGCGTGTCCCATGTTGTTCAGATTCTGTAGTTAAAAAATTGAATCTCTGAAGTTTAAGAAATTTCCTAAGCTTTCACCTGTCAAAAAATATAGAGCTTAGTGTTTGAATCTGAAGTCTGATTCTAGTCTTGTCCAAGATTTTCTAAACAAATCTTGGTAGGGAGTCACTGCCAGTAATGTCCAGTCTTGTTATATTGTCAGGCTGTTAACAGAATTATTAAAATAGTCACAAAGAAAAAATATGAAACTAATGTGACCTATACTAAATCAGCATTTTTTACAGATTATAATTATTAAATATTGCCAATTACAGTAGATCTTCCCTGTTCTTCAAGCAGATCATACAGCAAATAATTGGAATGCATATCCTGGCTTAGAATTATCTCAGAAAAATACATTTTTTTCTTCTAGCATATCACATTGAATGGTTAATTAACTCTTATTTAGTTAACTTGGGTCTCTTGGAAACAGGCATTCATCAGAAATTGGATATTAATGAAAATTACATTCTTGTCTTCAGTTGCCTTTGACTGCAGCAAAATATTTTTCTTCTTTCAAAACAGTATCCTGTGCAAGGGAGGCTGCTTTGGATGCCCAGTTTCTAGTTTTGGCATCAAATCTAGGAAAAGAAAAAGCAAACCGGTTGCATTCAGATATGATAGTATTTGATCCATCTGCATTTGCTGAAGATTTAGTAAGTTTGCAGCGATGAGTTGTATAATAATATAAAGTTTTTCTGTTTTATTAAATAGAACTTGATTGTATAAATCTTTTTTTATGATCTCTAGCAACATTCACTATAGTAACTCATGTATTCATAATGTGAATGTGAAAAAAAATAACTTTTTTTGCAAAGCTAGTAGCAGTATTTAGAAGTATACTTAAATATCTCAGTCATATAAACTGAAATATCAGATTTAGAGTGCTCTTAGGGCATATTTTGATTCAGTTGTAATGCAAAATTATAGAATTTTAAAATGTGTGAAGCATATGGCCCACACACTATAACTTGCTTGGGATAGACAACCCAAGGTCTAACATTACATTTTAAAATTTTTAAAACATAACAGCTGTGGCTGTTTTGTTTCTAAGTCTCAATTCACAGTTAAGAGCCATTGCTTTGCTCAAAAGGTTGCATCATCATAGCACAAATTGTACTATTAGTTCTTAACTAATTAATGCAGATCATAGTCTGATATTAGCTTTTATGTTTAAGATTATCTACAAATTAAAATTCTTCACCAGCATACCCTTAACTATATAAAAGAAACATGAACTCTAAATTTTATCCAATCTCTCTAAATGGCACAAGTTTGGATTGTGATTTTTCCCTTTTTCATTGATTGTGAAGATGAAAACAAGAAAGTATACAGTGCATTCAAGGTCCTTGAATTCATGGAAGCCAGTCTGTTAGCTGAATAAAACTGCTGTTGCATTAATCATATATTTTAACAGGAGTTAGAACCCTGTTGCTTATTTTAAATGTAAGCTGGTTAAATGTATTCCCTGGTTTTTCCACACTAACTTCAAATTATTGAATTCTTGCAGTATTGAAAATTAAACTATTCAGTATAAAAAATATAGTGATCTGAAGATGTTTGATCTTGTGGAATTATTTTGCTTCATTGGGTAGTTGACAGAATTGTAAGCCATGTGTCACAGTTAATATTCATTTCTGCTCCATCACCAATCATGATATAACAGAGCCAAAGAAAATTATATGTAGAATACATGAAAATGTGAACAATATCTTCTATATTTTTATGGCTCAGATTTCTTTAGATTTACTTTTTTTTTAGTTGGGGTCACAGACCAGAGTTGTTGAAATTGGGGCAGTTGGTAGTCTGGGTTTGGGAAAAACAGGTATTTGTCTGCTTCATGTTATAGTAAGAATCACGTTATAGTAGCTAAGGCACAGCTCCTTGTACCACTGCAAGGAGAGAATTGGATGCCTCCTCAATTTAAGTTATGTGACTAGTTCTGCATTTTTGGAGGAGGTAGTGGTAAGAGGGGAGAGATTTGTCTTCTGTGTGCAAAGAGATAACTTACACCATATATTTTAAAGTGAATTTCCTGTTAAGGAAAAAAAAAGATAAATTGCTGACCTTCCTTTTCCCCCAAAGATTAGGGTGTTGTAATTTCAGATAAAAGTTGCAATATATTTTGAATTATTTACACATGCATATAGCATCATTCAAAATAGATTTAGACATGAATGTAATTCCGTGAGCATGATATTACAAATATCTTTAAAATATCATGCATCTTAATGTTATATTTCTTCTTAAATTGAATTCTAATTTCATAATGTCATAAACTTTTGCTAAAAATGCAAATTGATACCATAATATGTTTCTTCTGCAGTTATCACTTATGGGTCTAAATCGTTTGGAAAGACAAGAAAGTGATAGTGAAGAAGAACAAGCTGCTAGTGGATTCTTACCTAATAATGCTTGGCATAAACTTGGTGAAGAAGCAAAAACATACTTTAGGAGGGCACCAGTTTTCCATTTCATGTGAGTTTCTTTGTGGTATCCTTCCATTCAGTCTGGTGTGATATGTTTCACAGGAATTATGCTATAAGTTCATTGTAGTTTGGGAGTTGAATTGCACAGTTAAGGCAGTTCGCAAATTATTTGAGATGTGTTTGTCTACTGTCCTCTCTGTTCCCTAATCAAGCCTTGTTGCTAGCACTTCATGGACTTTGAGAAGCCTCACATGTATTTTCTGGAAGTTTCATACTACTGCAAGTTCAAATGACCATTAGGATTTTGAAGTGAGCCAAATATCTGGCTTCTGTGTTATGTTTGACAAGACTTTAAGATTTCTGTAGATAAAGGAACCAGAGATCTTTCATTATGTTGTCATTCCTAGCTTGCTTCCGTGTGACATACGTCAGCTGGGTTTGGGGCAAGGAGATTTCTGGGCAGAAAATGCCTTTGCCCCTAATTTATTCCATAAATGGAAGAAGATACTCTTTCCAACCTTGCTTTAGAGACCTTTTATTAATGTTTCCTTTTGTTGCTCTTAGGTAATAATATTTTAAAGTTTGAAATAAGAGTGAGAAATATGTGTAGTTGAGAGCAACCAGACCAGGACTTTGCATTCATATGCATTAATCTGACATGAAACTGACATGATTTGACATGAAATCAAATCAAAACTTTATTAGATCTGAAGGCATGAAGCTGAAAGAAATTCTAATCTCCCAGCAGTCAAAAAACTGCTTTTTTTAAGGCTTATGTTGCTGTATGTTTGTACTGTCAGCCCTGCTTGCAAAAAGAATTGCAATATTACATTTTCAGATTATTTGGGATGTTACATAAGGAATTTACAATGTTTCAATTGGCTTAGGTTGGGTACATTTACTCCTGATCCTCCTGCTGAGAGGCCACGAATTGAAAGGCAACGAAAGAAGAACACTTCAGATGGAAATAGAGTAATGCCTGCACAAGTGAGTTACGTGTGAGAGAGATATTAAGCTTAAAACATTAATTTTGAGATGGGATATTTCCAATTGAAATTCATACTATAGCAACAGAAGAAGATACATAAAGAAATCCTTTGTCATGACAAAGCTTTATGCAAATAGAGGACTCTGGTGAACAATGATTTTCATGCAGAAGTTTGGTTCTGCTTACTGTACTGGAGCAGGGTATAATATTTTGTCACAATAATCTTCTAACATGAATACATGGACAATTTTGTGTATTGAAGCAGCTGATTCTTTATTGTAATTTGAAATTGGTGCATGAAACTTTAAAGCCAACTTTAAAAGCTTATTCTGCATATCAGTAGAATTACTTCAGGTCAACCCTGTATTCTTGCACTTTCTCATATCTGTTAGATGTTTGCATACGTCATATACCTATTAGGAAATGAGATAACTAAACATGTAGGAAAACCTTCACATCAGCTTCAGATGTTTACTCTTTTTAAAAATATATTTCATTTATCCCAGAAGTCAAATTTACATTGATGAAAGTCTTGCAGGTTAGGAGACACCATAATAAAGTATGCTTTAAGAAAACTACAACCTTTTTAAACAAATCTAATCTAAGGCTATAATGGGAAAGGGAAGACTGCTGTAATATAGCCATAGAATATAGCTGATTAATGAGAGCTTGTTAAATTAATTCTTCTTTTAGTTAGAGAAAATGGAAGGATCTCATCAAGAAGCTACTGAAAAGGAAGTAGAAAGGATTTTGGGATTCTTAAATGCCTATTACATGGAGGACCGTGAGTTAATGAAATTTAACATACATACAGTTGCCTCTATCTTTCCTTGTGGTCGTAAATTGAGGACTACCTGTATTGCGAATGTTACAAAAGGAGAAACTTAAATATTTGAGCAGAAAAGGTCAGTTGAAGTTACAAAGAGGTTCTGTGCTTCAAGTAAACTTGGTATTTACTTGTATTTTTTCTGCAGTTAGCTTAATTTTCAAGGTGATATTTGTGCTGGAAATGTTCACTTACATTGATTTGACTCCATCTGCACATACTTCTCAATCTGATGTTGTGATCATACCTTTCTGTAGGAACAACCATTCAGACAACTTATATTTAAGATCTGTAACAATAATTCAGTTTCCAGTTTTCATTCTTCTGCAGACCATGGATTAGATCTGTCCTTTAAATAAAAAATTGAATAATGAAAAAGATTAAATATGGGATTAGGAAAGATTTTTCCATTGATAGATAAATTATAGCTAGATAAAATCAAACACAAAAAGTAAACCAGAAATAGGCTGGAAGGTAGCTAAATTAATGTATCAAAAATATGTTTTTATATTGTAGCTGATACACCAATATCCTTCCTTGAGTTTGTGACTGACCCAAATTCTTTTGCACGAACTGTGGAAAACATGTTTCATGTCTCATTCTTAATCAGGGTAAGGAGAAACAATTTGATCCCTTAATTATAAAAAGCAAAACGTATTGTGGCACAGATGTAAACAAGCATGGGATTTGAAACATTCATGTTGGAGGGCTGCTAGTTGGCTAATTCTTACTTTATCATTCATGTAATAAAAATAGTTTGATGTATGCTTATAATTTATTATCCCCCTTTTTAAAAACCAGACTACTTTACTTTAACACTGATAATCAATAAATTGATTTTGAAACAAGCTTGATAACAATAAAGAATTTGGTCAGATATTTAGGTACTTGAAATATGGATCATGCTGATTTGTTTTTTTTGTTTTTTTAGTTAAGAAATCTGGTTCTCTGTTTTGTCATAATGGAAATAATTATTGGTTTTAAGTCCTATATCTATCTGCTGTTTAAAAGATTAAAACTGGAAAACTAATTTCTGAGTGGCTGGGTTTGCTTTTTGTACTAAATCATAATTTAATCCTGGTTTATTTAATGTACCACAACTGGTTATATTCATACAATCCACTTAATCAAAGCCAAACAAATAATGTGGCTAAATCTGCTTTGTGAACATTCTTACCACTGTTGAATTCAGTCCAACAAATACTGCATTTCAGATTTCATGAGTTATTTTTGGTAGGTCTTGCTATCTTAAGGGTAAATTGAGCTGTGTTTTTTCTAGGATGGACTTGCAAGAATAAAACTGGATCACAATAAACTTCCTGTAATAGGTAAAACTAATATTAGAAATGGTTTTAAACAAATGTCTTTTAATTTGACTAATATACTTGATTTTTATATTGTTTTAGTGTAATGGCACTTCTGTTTCTTTAAAATAAATTTGTTTCCTAAAATATGGTATTTTACTAGAACCTTTAAATTCAAGAGGAGGAGAAAATGATGAGGATACTCAGGCACAGAAACAAGCAGTAATATCAATGAGCTATCAAGAATGGCAGGTATAATGAAAATATTCTTTTATTTCCTGAAGCTGTTTAAGTATCCCTGAACTGTGTTTCTATGCCTAAAATGTTATGCCTAGGAATAGCATATCTATATTATTTAGGTCTTAAAAATATGGAAAGCCAAGTTCCTGTTTTTTTAGTTTGGAAGAGGAAGAAAAATATCTCCCCCCCATCCCTTCTTTTCTTCAACTTGTGTATCACAGTAAGATGGACTGGCGGTTTACCAGAGTAACAACATATTTCAGTTCATGTATTTTGTATAATCTCCCATCTTAAAAATTGAAGCACTCAGCTAGATCCAGAATTTACTTTATAAAATTATGGCAAAGTTGAATAAATGCTAGTCAGATGTTCTGTTAACTTGTGATGTACATAATTGTGCATTTAACAGCTTAATATTTTAGCTAATGGTAGCTGAAAAAGGTAGATATGTTTATTAATGCACATTTTTATATATGAATTAAAGACATTAAATTTTTATTTTTCAAATAGAATATTGTAAAGACATTTGAAATTTCACAGCACATGATTCCACCTGCTCCACAGCCACTGACATGAGATGAAGCTGATCTGAATGTAAGGTACTATTTTTTGTTTAATTTCTCTGATAGTGCTTTTGTTGTTTATATTTAAGCATAATAAAAGTTAGTTTGTGTTGGCTTGGGTTCTATCTATCCTCTGCAAATTTCAATCTTGTTTTTTTATGCAGGTATCCATAATTCCATAAGAACACTTACACAGACCAGATGACCTTGGCAGGAGAACAGCACAGAGGAAACTAGTAAAACCTTCCTGTTTAAGTACTGCATATTTGCTTTTATAAGGTAGTGCTTCCAGGTTTTCTAGATAACAGTGTTGTATTATACAATATAGTATATATGGGTTTTTTGATGTAACAGCAGATTAGTCTCAAACTGGCTTTTTTCCTCACATTTATGTTCTGAACGTATTTCCTCTTATTACACATTCATTTGGTCAACCTTATGTTGTCTCAGTTTGTACTTCAGCTTTCCACAAAGCAAAAAGTTGGCTAACAGTAAAACAAAATATGAAATATTATTTCAGAACAGAGGAAGGTACTAATTACTCTCCAGAGAGGGAACGAGTGGGGGCTTGCCACAGCTTCCAAGGGAGTTTGCTCTATATTTTTGGAGTGACACAGAACATGGCTTCTTTATGTTCCTGACACAGGCATTTTTAAAAGGGCCTTTTCTATTTATCTTTAATGTCCAGGCAGATTCATACTAATAGAGGCGGTCTCTCAAATAGTCATGCCTGAAAATGTAGATTTTAAGGGATTAGAATGGTCCTTTCCCAGTTCCTTTGTGTTGCAGCAGTATGTGTTAATCATATCTTATTTTAAGAGAACATGCACTTTTATAAATCTTACAGCTGCATAGCAGAATTAGATTCTGAACGTCATTATTTGTGTATGAAGGTGTAGGGAAGAAAAAGGGAGAGTGGAAATGCACGGTTGAGAAGAAAGGTACATCAGGCTCTCTACATTATAGAATGTACACAGCTGATTAAAATATGCTACTTTGGTGTAATTCTGCATTTTAACATAAACACGTTTATGGTGAAAAGGATGAAGTAGAATGTCTGAGAAGTGGCTTGTAAGAACAAAGAAACTTCTATAGTGGATGTCGTTCAGTGTTATAGATGATTGAAACTTGGAAAGAAGCATCCATTTGGAATTAAATACTTTTGAAACCATGAAATTGTTTTGCAATGTGCTGTATGTTTACAGATTAATAATTTCAAATGTTTCTGCAGTCAGTTTTTGAGTAATGCAAAGTTGTTAACCTTTACAGAGTAAGTAAAATATTAAATATATTCCATATTGATAATATGGAAGCTTTAGCTTTGAAAAGACTATATTTTAGAACTAAAGGTGCAGTCTAATGAATCATGGGAAGATGCCCTGGATCTTATGAATTTCTCTTTATAAGTAAAGGGGATAGTATTTTCTTGGAATCTTGCGAAATAACAAAGTGTAGTGGTATTCTAGCTGAGACAAAAAAATAGGTAGAACTGGATTAGTTGTTAACTTAGAAAATACTACGGTGTTCTTCAGTTCCTAACATGTATTATTCCTTTACTGGATTTCTAACACTGATATGCATATGGGCATTATACAAACCAGTACGTAATATAAATGCATCAAGATTAATTTTTTTTAACCCAGATGAGCAGATTTTAGACAATTGTATTCTGACTGCATTAATAAATGTCAAAGAACTTGCAGTCTTGTGAAGCTAAGTTATTTCAGGTATACAGGACAACAATGTAGGATTATATGATAAATATGAATTCTCTCTCCTAGCTTGCCCATGTGTACCCTTATGCCTAGTGCAATTATGTTAAATCTGAAGGTCATTGCAACAAAAAAATACAGATGTACAAATAAAATAATGATAGAGCTATAGAATATGTACCAATGCTAATGTGTTTCAGGCAACATTTTCTACCGTCCTTTCCCACTTGTTAGTCATTGCCCATATGTTTTTAATGGATGATTTTTGTTTTGTTATTGTATATTTTATTACCATTATATATCACTTTTAGATTTCTAAATAAGCTATATATGCTTTTACTATTAAAACAAATGTGTATGATGCTTATTTTCAAATTATATTGTAGCAACTTGAATAGCAAAACCATTATAGTCTCTGAAAAAATTAGATTGATTTTTTAAATTATACATTATGTTTAATGTCTTTAAGCTGAAAGTATTAAATGAAAGTCTTGCACAGGTACCATACAACCCTTTTATCTATAGCAGGTGAGGGTCTGGATCAAGTTTGGCTAATAAAGAACATACACCCTCCTCAGTTTTGGTGGCACGTGGGCTGATTACCTCAAGGATAGATTACTAGAATATGGTATAGCTACCCTTAAACATGGTCCAGAAATTGTGGATGGCCTACAGTGGGACAGTATTGGTAGTGAATGGAACCTCAGAAGTGCCATATCATTTCTGTGTTGGAAGAGTGATTGCCAGTTGCTTTTTGAAACCAATTTAAAGTGCTCCCTTTGATGCTCAAAGCCTTATATGGATTAATCCTAATTTATCTGCAAAACTGAGCCATGCTCTCAGAACTTTAGTGGGGTACTTCTTGACATAATTGCAGTGAGATGTGCAACAGTAAAATTCTGGATTTTTTTCCAGTAAAGAGGGAGCTTTTTTCTGGAACAAACTGTTGTTGGGGTTTAGGCAGGATACCTTCTTACTGCAGTTTAGAAATGGGCTTGAAATCTTATTAGCTAGACCTAGAATTTATATGCTTCTGATTGTGTGATTTTTAGAGAACAATGTGCCCAGGGCCATTTGGGAGTGGGTGGTATACAGATTTGTAAATAACTCTTCATCTCAGTCTTTGGTATAGCCATTACAATATGGTGATCATACTAATAACTTGCACAGCATTTTTCATCACCATTTGTATCTGTTGGACACATCTCTTAGATATCCTATTCTGTATCTGCAACATTAGCTTATCTTCACACTTTAAAAAGTGTTCCACACCTGTAAGTGGAACAGTTTTAAGAAATAGAGCATACACATACTTTCTCCATCCAAGAAAAGAGGTGAAAAAAATATTTTTTGTTTTGATGAGTATGATGGAAATGGTTAGAACAATACACTACATTTTTTAAATGATTGCCATTGTTTCTACCTAGTAGGACTAAATAATGGATTAACTAAAGGCAAAATCTATGTGGTCACTAAGAGTCAACACCAACTTGATGGCACATAATCAAAAAGCAAAATACTATTTTCTTGTGCTTGGAATTATTGAGGTACAGGTAGTCCTCACTTAATGCCACGCGATGTGGTTAAGTAAAACATCATGTGACTGTTCTGCATAGCAACAGCAGTTCCAGCAATCCCAGTTGCTATCATTGAGCGAATCCCACACAGTTGTTACGTGAGGACTCACCCGGATCCAAGCCATTCTTGGAAGAAAGTAAGGACTGTCTCCACTTCAGTTCCCCCCAACCACCTATCTCCTCCTCCATCTCTGCCCTTTTGGCCCCCTGCCTACCTTCCAGCTGCCCCTGCCATCCAGCCCTGCCTGCCACACTGCCTGCTGCACTGTGCGCCACTACCAGCCAGGGCCTTCTTTTGTGCTGGTGCAGCTAGGGCCTTCTTTCATGCTGGCCTCCTTTCTCATGCCAGCCTGGTCCTTTTGCGCTGATGCAGCTGGGACCTTCTTGCATGAAACGAGGACCCAGCTGCTGCACAAAAGGCGGCCCTGGCCAGCATGTGAAAGGAGGCCCTGGCCAGTAATTGCATGCAGCACGGCACACACCTGCCTGCCATTATTCTCACTCGCTGGCCTGCAAGACATTTCCATGGCACCTTCCATACGCGTGGCTGGGATGGTGAGCCCAGTGGAGAGGAGGCAGGAGAAGATGACACAAAGGTCAGCTGGGGGGGTGGTCGTAAACATGGGCAGGGCTGAATTTTGTTCATGTGACCGTGGGAGCGCTGCAACAACCAGAACATCCTTACTGGTTGTAAGGCCCTTATTCAGTGCTGTTGTAACTTCAAACAGTTGCTGAATGAATGGTATGCAAGGACTATATCTCATCATCCTTGTGACTATATGGCCATCATGGCTTAACCAACTGTATTCTGTGACAAATGAGAATATGTACCATCACTATTGTTATGCTTAATAAAAGCTAACAGTTGGAACACTTAGGTGTCCAAGTGTGAGGTTCAAACTATATGAATACTTCTGCAGTCAGAAGAGAATAGACTGAACATGCAAAGAATCAGCTTATAATCTATCTATGCACACATATATATATACATACCAAGAAAGAAAGAATGAACATATTTGGGGAAAATATGCGACTCCAGATTAAAAAAAAACAGACTCATGCATGCAAAACTTTCTGGTATTCTTCATTACTTTATATGAACAGCTCTCAGTTCTGCACGGATGAAAAAAAAAATTAGTGGAAACAAACCAGACAGTGCTGTTTACTCTGATTCATTATTGCTATACTGAAATTGATAACAATATTGTCAATTTTAAAACAGCAGCAGCCCCATGTGTTTTGTCAAAGATAATTTGTTGTCCTGAAAAGTTCTTAAGGAATGTATTGAGTGCTGGATGATGATCTTCCAAAGCAGAAAAAATACAACCAGGCAATGAACTCTTGACTGTGAGCTGAAGCAGGATGAAGGTTGCGGGGACAGAAGCACATTTACTTTCATGGATCTATTGAAAATACAGATGGAGCAACCGGTACTGTATTGTATTGTAGAGTAAGCTGTCCAAAAGTAGTTCTTCCAAAGACTAAGAGAACTAGGCAGTTGGATGTCTATTTCCTGGAGATGGGGAAAGGTTCACATTGGATCTATTTATGAGGGTGCAAAAAAGAACCCCCAAATGGCCATTGTTGGTTCTTACATATAGTGACTGCTTCACCACATACTTGCAATTTTCTTAGTTAGCTTATGTAGTCCAAAAGAAAGATGGTGAAAGGTACGTTAATTGCCCATCTGCTACCCAAGCTCTGCCCTCATGACTTCATTAAAAGAGCCACCCAATGCTCGGTGAGACGCTTAGCCTTATCGATAAAGAGGGAGTTGACAGATGTGTGCTACAGATGCAAGAACAGAGTAGAGGATTTAACACTACAAAAACCCAGACATTATTGCAATATGCACTGGCTTTAACAATATACAATTAGACTTTTACTTAGAGGACCTAGGGTGCCTTCCTAAAATGATTCTCAGGCGTTTCCCGATGTTTACTTTTAATGTCTTCTTTTTGGACAGCCTAACATTTTTTTGTGCCCAAGGAAGAGCAACAAACAGCACCCCTTCAGAGCATCTTGGCACCTGAAGGAGAAAAATCCTCACCTCCTTCCTGGTCTTTAGCAGTAGAAGTATAACAGTAACATTCACTTTCGAAGTACTTACTTGCCTACAGATAGAGTTGACGTACCCCAACCCTGCTGCAGCTTACTGTACTTTGCAGTTTTGAATAGCGGGACCCTGTTGTTTCCAAAACACTGCAGGAGGAGGAGGAACTGGCGGTTCCTGAGCTTCTAAAAATAAATATATTTTTTTTTCAGACGGCGCATTTTTTAAATAACCTATAGTTGTCTCTGTGGAACCCCGCCTACCACAACGTTTTTTTAAAGCCGAAGTCCAGTAAGGGAGCCATATCAATCTGTTGCAGGCTGTTAAATGCTAACACAAATTATTATAGCTTCATCTGTCTAATTATCTTGAACAAGGCTTCGAGTCCCCTGGAGGCTGTCACCCTAAAGCACAGGGATAAAAGTAAGCCTTAATAAGTCCCCCCTTTCCGGCTTTCACGAAGTCCTCTTTGGCCCCGCAAATGGAAGCTCCGTGCCCTGCCTTTGGCAACCGGAAGATGCGCTCGCAACTGGAGGTGCTCCGTTGCTCGACCCAGCCGCATTCTGCCCTTGGTTAAAATGGCGGCCGCCTCCGCCTCCGCCGCCGCTCAGGGCGCCCGAGACGTCTCTGGCTGGACGGCGGAAACGGGGTTGTTTGAAGGCGGAGGCAGCCAGCCGGCTGGGCGTCTAAGATGGCGATGATGGGAGGAAGTTCCTTGAGCATCGTGGAGTACTTGGGGGGAGACGGCGGCTACCGGTGCGGCTACTGCAAGAACGACACCGGCAACTGCTCCCACGGTACGAGGCGGGCATGGGAGCGGAGGCGGAGCTGAACAGAGCAGAAACCAGAGATACTCCTTTTAAACGTTGGGCCGTGCTTAGGGTGAAGGCAAGCCCCTGGAAGGAGTCGGGCTGGGACGGCTTCGGGGCATGCTGGGCTCCAGCCGAGGGCAAAGGCCAGGCGGCGCTTGGTGCCATCCCATAGCCCGTTTCCGGGCGCCTCTCGAAGTTATCTTTAAAAAGCACTTAACGGAGCTGTGTCGCAACGCGCAAAGGAGCCGCGTCCCGTCTGGCCCTTCTCTGCAATTTAAGTCATCAGAGTTGGAATTAAAAACAGAAACAGGAAAATGAAACACCTGTTTACTTCTGAAAGTACTATGGTGCCCGTTTTCAGGGTGCAGAGTCCACGTTATCTGATGCTTTTCTGTCTTAATTTTTGCCCCGTCCCACCAATACACTCCCGTGTCTTTCTTGGCTACGGAAGGACAAATCCCTGTCTCCAGTTATCCTTGTCTCTTTGGGCCTCCTATGTTTGAAGGAACTGGCTTGCACAATAAGAATCACAGAGGTGGGGAGTCAAAACTCAGAGGAAGTATAATAGCACCTTTTACAACTAACACATTTTATGAAAAGCCATAAGCTTTTGTAAGCCACAGCACATTTCATCAGAAGCCTGGGAACAAATGTAGAATTGGGCATAGGCTTGGGCATATGGGTTAAAGATTTGTTGTTGTTATTGTTACTATTACATTTTTATCCATATATATATATATATATATCATAGGGATGGGCAAGTAATCAGTGCAAATTGTTAGAAATGGGTGGCATTCCCACAATACATGGAATCATAAACTAGACAGTTACTAGGCTAGTGTTTTATAGGCATCTGACTAGGCTGTATTTACTTTATGCTTCATTGTTTTATGCAGCCTTCAGTTATTAAATTACATGTGGATAAGTATGTCATGCAGACATAAACACTGAGAATCAAAGACTTTAAAGAAAGGAAATAGAGATTTGTTGGGTGGAGTCAAGATAGCAGGAGAATAGGAGATAACAGAATACAGCAAATAAATCAATGAAAAGATATTTAAAACAATGTAATTGTTTTAAATTTAAAGGAGTTAAAGGAGGTCTTGTGGGATATACTGTTCAACTAGATGGAGGGTTGCACTGAGCTGTCTCATTGCTGGATCCACTTACAGCAGTCTTCTGCTACATAATTGCTCTTCAGATAAGAATATCATCACAGATTTCATAGCCATGTCCATGCTGGTTGGCAAATTCTGGAAGTTAAAACTGTCACATCTGGAGAGTGTCCAAATTCAGGAAGGCTTATTTGTAGATTGTATTTTTGCAACATGCTAATCCATGGTTTATTGAATAGAACCAATTGCTTGGGTCATCTAACATGATGAACTATAAATTAATTCACTGGCTGGAATCATAGAACATATTGAGCTACAAGCCAGCCAGTTGCATTTTCATCTGGTGTATTATATGAAGCCAGCCATAATATAAAGTGGCTTAATGAATGAGAATAAGTGCAGCATGTTGAGGGAGCCTCATATGGGTGTAGCAGAATGTACGGAAACATTGTTTTAATGTTAATTATGTGTTTTAACTATGATTTTGAGGAGTTTCAATAGTATTTTTAAACATAGTTTGTGTTATTAAGACATGCAAGTGGGAAGGTTTCCACAGAGGCAGCATTTTTTCCTTTTTTTTAAAGCAAAGTTCTTCCCATATTTTGTATGAATATTTTCTATATGAATATTTGTACTAGGCATGTGGAGTCATTCACTGGCTGTTCAAGACTACCAAGATCTTATAGACCGAGGATGGCGAAGGTAAGAGATGTCTCTGGGCGCTGCTAGTCTAAGTGATTAATTGAATATTCCAGTTCAGATCTTTATTTTGGTCACAGACCAGTGTAAATAATATGGGATCATAACCAATAAAAACCTATTCATGTCCTATAAAATACATAAAACCACTAAGTATCTCCTATATAATTAGACATAACTAGAGGTGATGACACCAGTTGTCATCTTGGTACATGAAGTAATTCTCCAAAATATTAATTTTAGTAGTGCAGTATAAAATAGAGGGTAAGAGGTTATACCAACATGCCTTTTAAGTATTCACAGTAATATAAACAACATTCTGGATAGATTGACATGTAATCTACTGGTTACTATTTGTGGTGTGTTCTTATAGAATGAACATTGAAAGATGATGTGCTTGATAGACTCAGCTTGCCCCACCTCCACAGACATGAATATTCCAAATTCAGGGTCTTCTTAATTACTGGTTACAACATTTGACCAGAACTGGGAAGACCCAGGTTCAAGTCCACCTCAGCTATGGAAGATGGGACATTCTCTCTCAGTCCACAAACTCGCAAGATTGTGGCTGGGTTAAAGCTGGAGGAGAGAATGTGTACAGCTGCCTTCAGCTCCTGAAGGAACACTGGGATATAAATCTACCAAATAAAATTTGGGGACTTTGTATGGCACACTGGCACTTTGTATCTCTGGTTATCATGGAATGGAAGTTTGGAAGGGAATCCTATCTAGGCTAGCTTACCACTCTGAATCCAATATTTATTGCTTTGGCAGAGAGCAAGTCTTACATTCCAAGGAATTTAAGTTAAAGGGAGGCAGAACTTAAGTATGCTAAATGTCATCAGCATCCTTCTCTCTGTAGTTTGGAAACTGTCCATTAAAGTTAGAGGAGCTAAACTGCTAAGATGCTAGCATAACTAGCCAATATTTATATAGCTATCCAAAATACCATAATGTTAGTTGTAAAAATATCAGGAAAATGAAGATGAATAAATTGTTTTTACCAGCATCATCCCATCAAAGGGAAGATGGGATTCTTACTACATTAACATTCATAAAGCTCAGAAGATTTATGTTATGTAAACATTTGTATTTTAACACATCAAACGTTTGAATGGCTTCTGTAAAGCTCATAAAATTATTATAGTCACAATTGCTTATATAAAACTTTTTTGCCTCTAAGGTATGGTATTTATTATATTTTTTAGCGTAAGAGCGTTTTAAGAATTCATTAAAATATATTCATCTTTTTTAAAATTCACAGGAGTGGAAAATATGTTTATAAGCCCACTATGAATCGGACATGTTGTCCTCAATATACAATAAGGTAAGCCCTTATGTGCAATAATTAATATTTTCTTCTAATTCAGTGCCGCTGTTGTACAGCTGATAGATTCCAATGTCTCTTTAGCATTAAGTGTTTAGTATGTCCCAGCCTAATTTGCTTTGTAAATGAGAGTAAATAGCAGTTATTTAGCAGAGTGGTTCCTAATTAATAATTCCCAGTATTATACCATAGATGGTTTGGAAGAGTGATTCAAGTAATCATTATGTAGGAAATGCTTACATGAAACTGCTTTAAGAAGCCTCAAATCTCAAGATATGTCCAAATCTTGCAAGATTTTAATATTTTCACTCAAAATTTCTGTCAAATTTTTGTGTTCTTGACTAAAATCTTACAAGATTTCAGAAAGGACTATCTCAGTATTGTGAGATTTGGTGATCTTGTGAAGCTATAGCCATTTTAATTATAAATAATTTTAATTTAATATCGGGGTTCCACAGATTTCATGGGAGGGACATGTGTGCTATGTTAGGCTATAAGATGATTATCAAAGGCTTACTGTACAATGAAAGTTTGCATTAAAATCTTCATAAAGGGAAAGATTAGGAACTGCTGACCTAGTTGGTAAAAAAATTTTTTTTAATTATTTATTAAACTTACATGCCTCTGAATTGTAACTGACTCAGGGTGACTTACAGAAAATTAAACACAACCACTACAAAATAAACAAAAATAAAACATTATACTAATAAGTTAATTTAAAAATTAAGAAATAAAATCTGGTTCCAGATGGTGCTTAGTCAGTCCCCAAAGGTTCTCTGGAACAGTATGATCTTTACTGCTTTCCATAGGCCCTCCTTGAGGGAACCAGTCTAGATATAGGGAAGCTGTTTCAGAAAAACAGCATTTTCTGGCTGCTGGGTTGAATTCCCTTTTCTAGCCTTGTAATTTTTTCAAACTAGTAACTTTTCTTATATTTTACTGGTCTGCTGGAAGATGCAGCACTCTGCTCCTCTTCCAACAGTTCATTGCATTTTGATGCTAAGAGCAGAGGAGGGTTGTCCATTGTCTTGAAGTGGACGTGGTTTCTATACTAAGCCTAGGATAGGGTTGGAATGCGCTGCACCTCGTTTACTAGTTCACTTACTCCTGCTTGTAGCTTCTTTCCGTCTACAGATATCAGACAGATACATTTACGCCAGATTGTTCTGTATGTACAGTGTTTTTAATAATGTACTTAAGTAGCCCTTTGTTGAAAAGTGCTATATAACTATTGATCATATTATACATTAAAAAGACTTCTTGAAATACTATGGATATTTCACTGGATTTTAATTTCCAGATAAGGAATGCAGATATTTAAGCAGGATCCATAATCCCAAAGTATGCCCAAAATAATCACAAGTTTTGAAGCTACTGCTTATATGACATATGATGTTACTAATAGCTATACCTACATAGCTTTTTAGATTCTGGACTAAATGATTAATTAATACAAATCAAAACCATGCTTAATTACTATATTAGTTAGGACATACCTTGACTGCATTTCTGCTTTTTTTCTTTTAGGTGCCAAGCATTACATTTCCAACCTTCCAAATCACATAAAAAAGTTTTAAAGAAAATGTTGAAATTTTTAATAAAAGGAGAACATTCTAAAGCAGATATTGAAGGTAATTGCTTAGGTGTCCTTTAAGAATTAGTTGCTGGTATATTCTGGAAATTTTTGAAAAAGCAGACAGCAATCACTTAATATAAACTACTATACAATGTTTTATATCAGTTTTCTCTTAAGTTATAACTAGGGGGAAATTTTATAGATTTGTTCCATAATTCTTCCCATTGTTGTGTTGTGACTATTTCTTTAAAGTATTGAATCCATTTTCAATTTTTTTGTTGTTCTGTCTCCGTGTCATATCTGAGTAACAGTTTATATATACACCCTGATTGATTTATTATGTGTCATCAAGTCATTTTCAACTCCTAGCAACCACATAGATTTTCTCCATGACGATCTATCCCTAATCTGTTGAATATTATTTATTTATATTGGAGGTATTTATTATTAAATAATACTGGGGCCAGCAATTCAAATCTTTTTTCACATTGTTAAAATAATTTAATGTACTTTGTTTATATGGTTAATTTCTCTTCATCAATATATCGAGTACCAACCATACAATCTTGCTAATTCCTCTGTCCACCCACTGATACACTGTATTTCTGTATCAACTATTTTTTTTCTTTCATAACACAAAGACTTCACAATGTAGAAATTAAGAAGTCACCTTATTTTTACAGTATGGACTTCAAAAGAGCTGTTTGCCACTTCCTGGTTTTTGTTTTTAATTTTGGGGGTGGTCTTTGCTTTTTCAGTTGCTGTATTCAAAAAGTTGCTATATTAAGAAGGCATTTAATGTGGTTGTGGAATTCCATTCTGAAGTTAGCTCCTTTGGTTGTTACGTCAGGTTGTTGTTCAGGCTGCTAATGAAATGTATGAGGTGTCACCTAAATCCATTGTGTATGTATAGAGCATAGGTGAAAGGATTGTACAATTTCTCTTGACAACAGTGTATTCTACTTAGAGTCTTGGGAGTCAGGTGATATACAAATTTAATTAAATAATAATTTATTTTGAAAGCTCAGTTATATAAATATTGGGGGATCACCTATGTATGCTGGAACTGTAGTTAAAAAAATGAAATTTGTTTATGTTAATGTAGAAATAGTGACCTTTTACTGACAGTGAAATTTGCATTCTTCCTGTTTTGTATGTGTGTATTATTATTTATAGTAGATCCCATGGAGTCTCTCACCAAAGAGGCTGATGGCTGTAGTTTTTCACTAAAAAGCCCACCTGTCAGAAGCCAATCTGAACTGCGACCCCTCGACACTGTCCCTACAGAAGAGGAAGAAATGACAGAAGAAACAAACATAAATGAAGTGGACTCGAAAAATTCTGAATTGTGTAATGAGAAATCAAATGCCGATTCCAGTAAGCCATTACAGATAGCTCGTATTGGACACGTTACTCCTAAGCCAGGTAATGCTTTCATTTTGTTTTGTTTTAATACAGCCAACTAGATTTACATCTGCCTGTTCTTTTATGTTGTATTGTATCTGTCTCATGATTGTGAGAGCCACCTGGGAGAAACAAATTCTAATAATTGCATGATGAACTCTTTCATTCTAAGGATCTGTTGCCATTCCTTTCTACAAGGCTGTATTGGCATTGTTATTTTACATCAATTTTTATTCGGTATTAATTAAGTTTGATAGGACAGAACTTAGGCTAGCTCCCTCTCAACCAAACATAAGAAAATGTATTTCATCCTTTTATTCGTTTTTTCTCTGGCACAAGTTTTCCTTTTTGCCAGAGAAAAAGACACCGGTCTTAACTGTAGCTGTTTAAACTAACTTAAGCTCTACTTAACTGAGTTCTAACATTAACAAACTGTGTTGTGCCTCTTGTTTGTCGAGAATCTTGATAACTAAGAGTGAAAAAAAATGTTGCAAATGTCTTTTTCATTTCACTAGCTCCTTCATGGTAAAGGTGCCTGTAAATTTGTAATTCACAATTCTCAGATTTATCTGACTATATTTCATACATAGATTAGCATTTTTGCCTGGGTTCAGCAAGTAAACTCAGTGTTTTTTACCTGTGTTCAGCAGGAGTTCTGCTAGAGCAGTGTTTCTCAACCTCGGCAGCTTGAAGATGTGTGGACTTCAACCGTAGTGCTGGCTGGGAATTCCACACATCTTCAAGCTGCCAAGGTTGAGAAACATTGTACTAGAAGAAGGAAGTTTTCATTTGCCAAGTAATCCTTGAGCCCTTCAAAATGTGCCCCGGAGCTGCTTATTTTTTCCAGGCATCACAGAATAACACTGATGTCTCTTTTAGTTCCTCTGATGGCTGTGGTGTTGCTTCTTTCAATTCCTTTCTTTTAGGAATATGGTTTTTGTTATTCAACAGTTATATAGTTAATTTAATCTTGTACATGTGTTTTGGAACATAAGCCTGGCTATTTAATGAATTACCTTTGAGAAGGAAAATTTCTCATCCTCCATCAAGACCCTCCAATATAACCTGGTTCACAAGGGCCCTTTTTTTTTCTCTCATGGTGGAAGATAAACTTCCTGTTGTATCTAAGTCATAATCATTATACAGGTAATCCTCGACTTAACGACCACAATAGGGACTGGAAAATTTATCATTAAGTGGTGCGGTTGTTAAATGAGGCATCACATGACCGCACCCAATTTTATGACTTTTTTGCAGCGGTAGTTAAACGAATCACCATGGTTAAGTGAATCATGTGGTCATTAAATGAATTACGTGGTTCCTCGTTGATTTTGCTTGTTGGAAGCCAGCTGGGACGGTTGCAAATGGTGATCACATGACCCCGGGATGCTGCAACTGTAATATGTGCTGGTTGCCAAGTGTCTGAACTTTGATCATGTGACTGCAGGGATGCTGCGATGGTCATAAGTGTAAGGACTGGTCATAAGTCACTTTTTTCAGCACCACTGTAACTTCAAACAGTTGCTAAATCAATGGTCATAAGTTGAGGACTATCTGTATAGTCCATTTTTCTGCACAGTTAGATTGCTTATAATAGCTTATGGGTACAATACTGAGTGAGACAATACTTGAAGCTTAACATTTTAAGTGATAGGTGGAATCACAACTATCAAACTGTTATAGAAGGCTTAACTTTTTAAAGAATTAAAGCATTTAAAAAATTGCTTTCTTTATAGACAGCCATATTAAAAGTATAAAAGTAAATGATTGTGGCTTCCTTCCACATATGCTTTTCCCATTGAATAATATTCTAGGCAGAGGAGCTGACTTGAGTAAACCACCATGTCGTAAAGCAAAAGTCATACGGAAGGAACAAAAGTTGCAGAAAAAACTTCAGCGCCAGACATGGCCTGTTCCACTTCAAGCAGGGGCTCAGAGTTTGACCAGTGAGAACTGTCGTCCTAAAACAAACCAGCCAAAATCAATTGAAGACTTCATTTTTGTTACCTTACCTCCTGAAGCTCTGCACCAGATAGAGGTACTGAGATATTTATATTGCTTATAGCAAAGTAATCTTGCATTATTTGTTAATGTTTAGTAATAAGTCAAATATAAAATATGTTTTAAGTACAAAAGTGGGGAACATTGCAAAGTTTTCTTGAATTAGAAAAACAGGTAAGTGTTACTGATACTTGAAAAGTTTCATGTTCTTTGCAGAAACACAAGAGGGTGCTGTGGCTCCATCTAAATGAACGAAATGCTGCAAAAACAAAAATACTGACTTGTATAATTTTAATGAGAACCTAAAAATGTAGCATCTTTGGAACAAAATTATAAAAATGACTATAGATGTTTAGATTTTTAGACAGCTGAAGAAAAGGAATAGAAATATATTTTGAACCATTTGATGAAGTCTAGAATCAAACATTTTTGTATAAATATAGGCATTTTTTTAAGGTGATGTTCTAGCTCACCTAAATAAATATAAAATTCTGTGTATTATGTGTCCATCACTTTTGGAGCAATTGTTAATCATCCTATTTATTAATCTTGGGTGATGTGCCATGCTATATTTAGAAGGTAGTCGTTTTGGTTACTTCTTTGAGCATCTGATAGGAAAACAATATTTGTGGGAAATGGACTTTGGTACTCAAATTAGTCATCATAACCAAGCATAAATACTTCTTTAAAACTTGATGGTAAAAATAAAAATACTGCCATATTTCATGGAGTTATCAAAATTGTAAAGAAAGGAATGTGACCGGTACTTTTTAATCATGGAAATTATCCATTTTTACTACTGTGATAGACATTCATATATTATCATTAATATTAAATATACTTTATGTAAACAACTATTTTAAGTGAAGTTTCCTTAGCATTTATGCCAAAGTACTAAATGTTCAAAGAACAGGGTTTTTTAAGACCCTGGCTTAAAGAGGGTATCCTGTTGGCTCTCAGTCTCTATTTAGTTTAATTTTTATTTTATTTTATTTTAAAAGACTTATATAGCCACCCATATTGTAATAACAACCCTGGGTGGTATACAAAATAGTAAAACCAACTGACCCCCCCCCAAAGATAAAAGCAATTAAAATTCTCAGACTCTACCAAAAGTCATGGCACCTCGACCATGTTGACTGTGCTTTATTCCATTTCTAATCTTCTACTCCTTCCAGGAACCTCTCTTGCCACACTGTTTTCTGACACAATTCTATTACCATGTGTTGCTTCCTGAATTTAACCTATTCTTGCTACTGTTTACGCTTGTCTCTGACCCAGAAGTACACTTAACTTGAGCTCCTTGATTGCTGCCAAGCATTAATGTGACCTCTGACTCCCTTGCTGTGTTGATTTCTATCTACCACGGCATTGTGACTCACTCTGTTCACTGTAGCACATGGGGACAACAATGTGTTTGTTTGGTCTTTTGACATTTCATAATCCATAGCCAGTACCCCATTTGAAGTCTCTGTTCACTAAACATTACTTTTGGTAGAGGGAAGTTAAACCAAAGGGCACATTGGTTAAATTAAAAACAAATTTTAAAAATAAAAAATAATATTTTAGAAACAGCAGATTCTAAGCATAAGTTTTTTGTGGTTCTAGGGTAAACCAAACCTAAGCACATTAATTAGCTAATGTAGACCTAAATAAATTTATGTGCACTCACCGCTGAACTTGGTGAGACTTCAGATTAAACATGTTAAGGAATTCATTAATACTGTATTTTAGTACATTCAAACTTGAGCAGGTATCCTTAAAAAAAAAATCATAAATCTAACATACTGTATACAATTAGATTTAAGAAAACTTAAAAAAAAAAAATCCTATTGTTTCAAAATAGTATGTAAAAGTTAATAGACCACCAAGGCCTGAACCAGTGCTAATAACAGTGTGTGTATGCGTCTCTCTACGTGCATATACGTATGTAACATTTACATTTACTTTACATTTGAATACCCTCCCAACATGATTACATGACTGCTTCAAATCGGATCTTGTCTACAGACTTTTGAAAGCATTTAAATGAAGGGCAATGTGGCTAGAACTTGCACTTTGAATAGTGAAATGAAACAAAGCTAAATGTTCTCTTTGTGAAAAATATCTACATAATGTTGGGTTAAAAATATGAACAAGAATAATTGTTTAAATGTTGGTCTGTATTGCTTTCAAACATTTAAATTTCTGATGTATATTTTTATTGCAACACTTGTCTTTAATTCTTTGGAAGGTGAGGCTGGTGCGATCATCTCCACCGAGTTCCCAGTTCAAAGCCACCTTTCAGGAGTCTTACCAGGTTTATAAGCGTTACCAGATGATTATTCACAAGGACCCTCCTGGTAAACCAACCACCAGTCAGGTCAGGCAGCGTATTGCTTTAGTCTACTCTCTGGAAATCAAAAGCTGTTTTTGTTTTAAAAAGATCTTAATCATAGACATTTTTAAAATTGCATCAATTATATTAAACTGAATATCCTGAAAATACAAGCAACCTTTTCAATTCATGAGTGCCACAAAATACATTTAGAAGGAAAAAGAGAAGCAATAATTAATTTGTCATAAGTATTAGTGATGCTACCTAAAGAGGAACTCAAGTGTAGTACACTGTAAGTTTTCTGATCAGCAGGGTGCCTAAGATTTTCTATACAGTATTTATGTCACTACTGTGAGTTGGAATTGTATTTCATTAACATTAATACAAACGAGGAATGCTGTCATTGAAAATGGTTTCTTTGGACTGAACTTGTGATAAAGGTCCTATCCATATTTCACAGTGGAATGAGATGGAGAAGGAAGGCATTAGTTAAAGTGGGGAAAGAATGTCTGAAATATTTCCTAGGCCAATTTGTCCTATTATTGCCTGCTCTTCATTTATTTATTTATTTAATCAATTTACGTGGCCATCTCAAAGAATTGACACTGGGTGGCTAACAACAATTCAGAAAACAACAAAAAAACCCACAAAATGCAAAATAAATAGACAGTCGGCAGCTGTGATAACCACCACCTCCACCAGTACAAAAAGAATACAAATATTTCAATAAAACCAATTCACAGGTGCCAACAGACACTTCGACCAGCCCAGGAACACAGCTATGTCTTCAAGGTCTTGTGAAAGGATAAAAGAATCAGGGACAATCTGATTCCCAGGGAGATGATGTTCCTCAGGGCAAGTACTGTGAAAGGAAAGGCTTTCTTCCTGGATCCTGGCAAGTGGCACTCTTTCATGGACAGGACCCATAAGACACCTCTTCTGCCAGATCTTTTGGGATGGGTAATCATGATTGAGGAGAAGCAGTCCTGCAAATAATTTGGTCCCACGTCATGGAGAGCTTTATAGATAACCACCAGCATGTTGAATTTAACCCAGAAACATATTGGCAACAAGGTAGCTTGCAGAGAATCACCCATAACTATCTACCCTGCTGCATTTTGTACCAACTGCAGCTTCTAGATGTTGTTTGAGGGCAGCCTCATCTACAGTGCATTGCAGTAGTCCATCCAAGAGATGACTGAGGTGTGAGTGACCATTAGCAGAGCCTCCTGGTCTAGGAAAGGGTGCAGTTGGTACACAGTTGATTTTTCTGGTTTCCTGCTTGGATGTTCCATTCAGATGCTACTGTGCTGGTCTTTGGAGGATGCTGTAAATGTTTCCTGGAGCTCACATATTGAGCCAGGCAAAGCATGGTATCTATAGTTAGTATTCAGTATTCCTTCTTAAGAATGCTGTCTATTGTAATTGATGCTACTTTTGCCCATAATGCAGTTTACTATTGTGCTTTCTTTGATTCTTAACTATTTCTTCTTCTTGATGAAACTTTCAGTCTTTTTTCCCCATCACTTGTCAGTTCTCAGCCCATTTTCATCACACACTATGCTGTCTATCTTCCGTGGCAGAATATGTAAATTCAGCACAGAAAAAAAAGCATACTTATTAAAAAAAATAAACGTGATCAATAGTAAACATTTTATAATGTGTGGAAATTATTTGGGAAGATCTAAGTGCTTTTTAATAATAGTTTAATTAAACCCTTTTAAGGCAATGATTGGTATTGTGTTAATTGTGTGATAGGTGAGGATTTGCTAGAATGACTAGTCACTGAAGATGTGTCACAGTTTATGGATAACTCCTTTGGCATTAAGAGCATTAGTTATCAGCTCTTACTTTGACTGTGATTTGGCAAATACATAGAATAATGGTAGAGGTTCAAAAATCACTAGAAATTGGTCCTAGTAATTATAATTTGAGTTGCTGCCCCAGCAGCAAACTATATTTCTGCCTATAGTTTGTTCATACAGTATAGCTCTATAAGTTAAGAGATAACGATTATGTCTTTTGTTCTACTCAATTAAAATATTCATGATTGGAAATGGAAAATCTCTTGAGAATTAGCTCTTATGATAGCAGCTTTGATTAATGGAAAATTTTAGATGATCTCAGTATCCCAATAGTAGCAGAGTCCCTAAAGGCAGAATCAGTTTACATGGAGTAAGTAGCCTTTCGTAGATGTTGTTTCCTTGTATGAACAGAGGATAGTCCTTAGAACTTATTCAACACTCATTGGCAGGTAGAGAATACTGATCTCAGTGAATTCAGAACACAACTTGAAAACTGAAGTGTATCTTCTAGAACATGAGAAAGTTAAACCCTTAGCTTCCTCAGAATGTTGGTGTCATCTTCAGAGTTAGTATGGAGAAGCAATGTAGATTACTAAATAGTTAAATTAAGACATGGCACTAAGCGTTACAGTTTCATCTATATACAAATTGTATTTTATCATTTCTGTATAGTATTTATTTACGTTTATACAGATATTTGTATGCTGCCTATTCTGTGGTTTCTAGGCATAGAGTCTATTAACATGGTAGAAGCAAGTTAGCATTTGGAAAGGTGGTGTTGCTTTTTGTGGTTGTTTGAGGTTCCTTGTGTGTCTCCTTGGCAGAGGCTTTGAAATGGATCGGAGGAGATGATACCCTAGTCTACCCTTCAGGAGTGTTAGGACAAATTTAAATAAAATATTGTGTTTTCCCTTGCTCTGAAGGTGAGGTTAGTACCAGTTTCTTTTGAGGACCCACAGTTCAGTTCATCTTTCACCCAATCTGCCACTTTATTTGCCAAGTATCAGATGACCATACACAAGGACACTCCTCTTGAATGTGACGAGGACCAGGTACAGTTTACTGCATGTATTTTTTGTCCATATTATTAATGGTGTTATCAATAAACATGAATGGACTTATTTTCAGTCATTCAAGTTGATCTAATTATTAGTTCATTGAGGAAAATAGACTTATATACAAGACGTCACTTCAAATGAAGCTGTATTCAGTGTAATGATGACATTCTAAATTCTCAAAGGAAGACATAACAAGATTGACATTTTTAATGTGTCTTGGAGAAAACAGTTTAGATTTTGGATATGATTTATTTATTTATTTATTTAATCAATTTATATAGCCGCCCATCTCATCACAGGCAACTCTGGGCAGCACACAACAAAGCTAAAAACAGTAAAATATATTAAAAATATATAAAACAAAATAAAACAGAATA